GATTTCTGGCCATGTTCAATTGCCTCGCGCGTTGTCGGCGTTGTACGCCTATCCTGGTAAGGTGCGTTCGTCTTAACAACTCAGATCATTTGTGCAGAACCAATTCTTACGATCTGTTTAAATTCTACATTTGTTTTTACCAAGCGCTGTTTTTCTTATCGGTTTTTAGTTTTACTGCCCTACTGTAAGATAACTTCATGAGCCCGGTTCTTCCCTCAGTCTATTCCGAGGACAATTAACTACTTGGGCGACTGCTACACTACATATTGTCCCTGTTTCACCTTGTATGCGCCTTTTACACCAGTCCCAAGTATGAGCTACGCAGTTTCTCGTTTTTTTTGTCTTAGAAGCTCGGTGAAAACTTCTTCGGTGTTTAAGGGGTTTTTATTTTGTCCCGTCTTCTTAAATCAAAGAAAAGCAGTATTATAGAAAAAAAGATCTCATGAGTTTAAGAAGAAGTGCTCGTTCTTATATTTTTCGTACCTTTCTTTTTGGAGGGCAAGTGTCGCACATCCGTATTTTTGCTGCTTCTCTCCAGGCGGATCATTGTGATTCTTGTTTTTCGTTATTATAGAATAGAGTTGAGATTTTGTTATACTCCGCCATTTTGTTAAGTAGTCAATCATTCGAATAACACTACTGTTCTTACACTTGATTGCAGTACTTCATGCCATTCAGTAACAAGCATTTATCATATGATACAAACTGTTGGAGCGCGTCAGACTCTCCTATTCAGCAGCCTTGTTCGTTAACTTTGCTGTAGGTCTCACCTATGATCACACTGAGCTCTTATAAAGTGTACTTAGTGTAAATGACGCAAGTAGAGCCTACCGTCACGACCCATATACGATTTATTACCTACAACGTCCATCAATTATCCAATTTTGCGTCATTCGTTCTACGAAAATCATGCTCTCCTTTGTCCTGTTTATCTAATTCATAGAACGGAATTTGAAAAGTCATACACATAGGTCTTATTTAAGTCTAGCTATTGCCTGACTCACGTCAAGCGTGGCGATATTTTCTTCCTTATGCCAGACTGTATCGACCTAATAATCTAGTATCTCGGATAAAAGCACAAAACACATGTTCTGCGGATTTACTGAGAAAATTTTCCCTTACCGTTGTGCAAAGTAAATTCGCCCATCAGCCCCAGTTACCGAGTTTTTTTTCCAGATATTTATGTCAAGGTCGTCAAAAACATGACTGCTGCTTCCTCGGTGTCGGTATGTCGTGCCTTCTCACCCCTACACATTTGCCTACTTCACTCTTCGGCGAGTGGCATTGTCAATTTCATCCTTACGTATGACTCGTCGTTAGCGCTGCTGAAGAAGTGGTCAGTTTCCTCCTCCTTTACTCCTCCGTAATGAATAAATAAGCTATTGGTTTATGTCCTTTGTTCCAACTCTCAACAGGTCTTTCCTGAACCGGGCCCTGGGTTTAAACGCAATGCTTGGATCCGTAGATCATTTGATCACCTACCCCAGAGCTAGGTCGGACAGTTTTGGAGCGCAATTCTTATTTTGTTCTAAAACTTTAAGTAAACTGAGAATCATTACAATAGCCTTAGAACCCCACACACACTTATTGGACGAATGAAATAAAAATAAGATTCA